GGTGTTCGACTTTACCGAAGAACTATTTATTTATTTTTGGTGTTCTAAAGTGTTTACTTATGTCAATGTTTGCATGTGAATTTAAATGCACGAACATTTTGAAAGTAAATGAAAAAAATAATGAATAAATATTGGTGAAAAAAAACACTTTTAAATTACAAGCTTTTTATCTTGAAAGGTATGTAAGTGTTTATTCACTATAGTACATGTTATATAATATACTAATCACTATCATATTATATTGTACAATGTAAATAAATACAAATAAACGTAACCTACGCTGTATTTTCTGAGAGGGAGGATCAAATTGAGAATAATTGAAATACTATACTCACATAATTAAAATGTCAATCATTTTTATCATAGTAAACATGAAAGGAAGAAGGGCAGGTAGTAAATACTTAAATTCTTTTGACATGTATACACTTCCGTTGTAAAGCATATGTTGAGGACTTTTATATAACAATCGTCCGACGAGTTGATACCAAATGATATACCTTTAATGACGTTGTTAAATTGCGTATACAATATATTTGTAAAATGCATGTAAAATAATATTTAGTCTGTAGAAATGTAGAATACTAGAATAACTACTACAGAATATAATTATTTATATGTATGAGTTTTATTAAATAATTTCTGAATACTATAATGATGAGTACCTACACTATTAATGTTAGTACAATATATAATAATATATATATATTATATGTTGTATACGACTACATTTGTACCTATTGTGGAAGTATATTATAATGAATTTCCATGAACATCGTGAATGTAATATGAAACATTATTTTATGTTTTATTTCTTAAAATAGAATACCTCAAAATAAATAATTTACATACATATATTTAAATGTTTATTATACAAATACTACCTATAGTACACCGGTAGCTTGATGATAATAAATACATACCTATAATTACCAATTAAAAATCAATTGTTTTGAAATGTTCATTAGGTACTTCATTGACTATATAAGTATACTAGGTACTTTAGTACTTAAATAATTATAATGTATTATAAGCTTACAACTATAGCTTTTGATCAGTATTCTGGCAAATTTAGTAGATAATTAAATAATTTATATTAAATTTAAATTTCCATTTTATAGTTATATACGATCACAATTTGAATAAACATTGAAAATGAAACAATGAAGTATGCTGCTAATTATTATCAAACCAAGTTATATATTATAATATATTATACAATATACATAATACATATTATGTTTTTGCGTTACCGGACATTTTTACAATACCTAGGGGCTAGGATACGATACCAACTAGGTATATTAGGCAATAATACCATTTCCTAACCGTATAATAGAAAAAAACTATCACCAGTATCACCTACATATAGTATTATTTTATATTGATAATTATTACTAGCTCTGGTACACCTAGATATGAGTGAACCTCGTTTCGTCAGTATTACATACATCTTCTAGGTTCCTAAAATGTATTTTAAAAGTACATATTTTAATATTGCAATATACATAATAGCATGTAATTAAATCTGAAAAAGTCTATGATACTCAAAGAGTTTTCTTTAAAAATGTAATTGATTATTTTTAATCTCAGTATTTTCAAAATAGTTTAATAAAATTAAAGTACAAAATTTGATTCGAACATTTTTTTTAAATTGTATGAAGTATAAATAGTAAGAATATAAGTATTAAGTTTATTTATTCGCATTTAATACTCTCAGGGTCTGAGATGAAGAGTATAGATGAGATATAATATTAATAAAATGTATTAATTTTAGTTCTTTTTTTGCTGTGTAATAGTTATATGAATATAAACATACAATTAGTGTTGAACAATGGGAGTGTATTAAATACATGACATTTTCATATGTATAATATGTTTCTGTATCGGTATTTTTTTCACTTCATTTTGTTAAATTTGATATAGCCCATAGGTAATAGGTTGGTATAATATACCTATATACCTATATATTATATATAAATCAATTTTTCATATAAATAAACTATTTTTTTTTTTTGAAAATGTAATAATATGATAGTGCGTTAAAAATATTTCAAAGTATAAGTAATATTAGGGCCATTACATTGTCATAACTATTAATCTTATTATTTTTAGTGATTTTACCCGTAGGCATAATATATTAATAATTATAATATAATACGGATTCCTAAACTTTCAGTTAAATTGATTTTTACCATATTCACAAATTTATACATTTTATGAGACAGTGAATAAAATTAGGTTGGTATACTTACTACTCACTACTCAGTATATTAACTTAGTTTAATATAAAAAAATTGTATATACTTTTGTGTATTTTTTGGTGGTGAGAGGGAGGGGAGAAAATCAATTTTTTTTTCTATACTTTAAACGTTATTATACGGATACTTTGGATTTGAATATGATGGTATGTATATATATTTTTTATTTTAAACAGAAAAATAAACGTGAAAACCTATTTATATTTTTGAACTTTTATTAAAACAGTCCACGACCTGGAATATTCAATTTAGATATCATGCTATTTTGAATTTTTGTGGGTGATTAGCCTATATAGGTTGATTTCCTAAGCATGTACAATATACATTGTACACCCCCATTTTTCCGTATACCTACGGTTTTTAAGAATATAATCCATAATATACCTATAAATTTTAATAACTTAAAAACTACTCATACGATTTTTTTTTAGATACATATAATATTAAAAAAAAAAAACAATAATCTGTTTAACAATTATATAACAATAAAAATAGTTGGTTCCTATTTAAGTCGAAGTAGGAATTTCTTGAATGATGTAAAAAATCAAAAATATTTAATTTAAAGATGTAGTTCTAATAAATAATTAAAAATTTCAAAAATCAGAATTTGAATAAATCAAATATTTATTGAAAAATGTGGTCGATCAATGTCATGCTTGGCGAATACCCTGTACATAGTATATATGAGTGTAACACACTAACATAATAATATACCTAAGTAGGCCACATCGGTGTATGTCGTATATAAATAAATAATATAATCTCAACAATATTACTGTATTTTCAGTCATAATAATAACTTTTGAATTTACTGTTTTCAGCTCATCATAAAGCTTTTAAAATCAATTCGTTTAACGGGAAAAAAGTCTTCAAAGGCTTTTAAAATAAATTAGTTAAGATTTAAGAGTCGATCAGCGCAATATTTTCTTTATTTTATACGACGGCAGTATAATTAATAATACAACGTGTAGTCGCTACATGCCTACATACACTCATATACATATACAAACTATAAAGTAATAGAGTTAACAATGGTTCACGAAATGCGGTGATCGTGGTAGGTGCAGCTTCAGACGCAGTGCAGTAGTATTATGTCATATGTTATATTTGTTTTATCACGAAACGTCGTGTTGAATTCGTAGGCAGCAGCAAAAATTATAGTAATTACTGTTTGTTGATTTCCGAAAACGTTTGTTCGGTACTTACATCATAAAATATAAATGTATAATATAATATAAAGCGTAGTGGCGTGATGGTAAGAAACTTGGTGGGGCCAGAGGGGCAAATAATATTAAAACGAAATTCATTTTTGTATGAAGCATTGAGGAATATAATAATAATACTATATTATTTCATAATTATTACAGTTTAGAAAAAAATATCTTCCTTATTACCTAACGCCTGTTTATGATAAAGTATGTACCTAGGTATAGATCAGGGGTGGCAAACTTTAGTAGAATTGGAATAAACCTCTGAGATATTGTTACTATAGGACATAGGTAATGCAGGGAGTATTTTTTACCGATAATATCAAACGCCCAGTATAATTCAACAGAATGTTGTTATAAGACCTGTAAAGCTGCAGATGTTTAAGTGCATGGGATTCAACGTTCCCGATGAAGGAGAACGAAACTCCATTTTCATAAATTTCAGCTTTGATGAAACGGAAAAATCCGTCAACATTTCTGATTAATCCATGAAAAATGACTGTTTGAAATGAAAAAAAAACCAAATGCATTACTGGAATTCAATTTTGAAAACTATAAACGTAAGTACCTGCCATATACCCAGAAACAGAATCTACATAATTGTACAAATAGCTGAATTAGGACCTCTTCTTTGGGGACTTCGCGGTCTCCACATTAACATAGGTAATACTGTGATTTTCAAGTTCACACGATTGTAAAAGCGTTAGACTAATATTAGACATCTGCTGTACTATATGCATAGGTGGTATATAGGCGCAATTTAAGAAGTCTGCGATTCCCCCCTCCCCCGCCAACACCGTCAGGCGATAATATTTTCCCCGTCTTGTCGCCCCACAATATTGCAGCACTGATATTATAATAATATTATACAGTTATAATATGTGCGTATGCAGCTGCGTATACCACGGCCAAACGTTATCGGATTATTATTGAATTATTATATATTCTCTGCGGACGTGCTCGTGTTTTCTCGCCGACGACGGGTAGCGGGACGATGTACACGCGCCGGTTATTGCGACGGGACAGCAGCGGGTTCAGCGTCGGCGGTGTCGGTGCGAAATTCCGAAGCGCATCCACTCGGCCAGCGAATCAGCCGTGCGCGCGCTTTTCCGCGGCACACCGCCGCCACCGACGGCAGCAGTTCTTCGCCGACACGTCTCCGGCGCTGTCTGCAAGCTACGCATCTCGTCGCCACATCGTCTGCAGCAGTTTTCTGTGATTTTTATCAATTCATTATCACATTGTTTTAGTTTAATATATTATAATTCACCTATCCTCCAATTCCACTATATTATAACATCCGGACACCGGAGCTGCAGGTCTGCTGCAGGTTGACGAGCTGAGCCCCCATTGTCGCTCTGAAGGCCAGATCGCCGACTGGCCGCCACAATTTCCGTTGTATTATAACTTGCACTCAGACTAGGTGAATATAATATTGTATATTTATATCGAATCTTCCGTGTCCGTACGATATCCCTCCGACGACGCGGACGTCGCAGCGGCGGCAATCACCACGACGAGCCGACGACATGAGATGCAGTTGGCCGCCAGACGGATCCGATGGATGTGTTTGTTGTGCGCGTGCGCGCTGGCCGATCAACGCGTCAACACCGCGAACAACGACACTGCACAAACAGGTAGCACTTCCGTCCGTCATGTCCCGTCCCGTCCCGTCTGCCTCGCTCATCCCGGCGAGCATCGTCCGTCAGACCTCTCCGCAGGCTCACGCGAACGTACCACCACCCCAATCGCCACCACGACACATTCGACCGACTCGACCCCCTCCTCTCCCCCCACCACTGCTTTTAAGCTCCCAGGTCCGCGGGTCAATGACGCACATTGTGCGTGTATATATTATTATAGTCTATGTAAGCTCTGATCGGTCCACCCTATCCTCCGGCAACCCCACAGATCTACCTGTACGAGTTTATGCCACGCATATGGGATGATCCATTTGATTACTGCAGGATACTCACTATAGTTTCCTTAATGACACGTTACGTTTGTGAAAATAAATCTTCTTTCTGCAGATAAAATATTTATTATGACATACACATAATATTATCTAGTGTTTATAAATCTAAAAGACAACCACAATTTTTTCTACAATGAACTTTAAAATGTATTAATTTTGACAAATGACAACCATTTTTTTTTAAATTTATAACCAGAAGTATAACAAGCTGTATATAAGATAGTTTTTGATAGAATAAAATAAACCCTAGAACTAAGCAAATTAGGTAAATTAAAGAGAGTACAGCCTCGAAAAAGTTACATAATACATTATTCCACTTATCTAATTGTACTTGGCTCTTCTTTAGATGAGTATATTATCTAATACAAAAATCATTGTGATAAAAATAGTAAAAAATTAGTTTCTTTTAATAAAAATGTAGTGTATAATATATTTGTAAATATCAAAATAAATATGAATTTTTGAATCTGGGTGAAGAATTTTAAGTCACTCTGTATTATACTAACAAGATTTTGATACTGAAAAAAATATATATAGGTGTTTGTTTTGTTTTTATTTTTAAATCTCAAACTAAATGCTTTTCGTTATTTGTATTTACCTATTTTCTAATACCTATAAATATAAAATTCCTTATTTATTATAAGACAATCTGATGGCTGCTAAATAATATCCGTTGAAAATCAACAAATGTCATTTAAGCTCATTATTATATTATACGTAGTAATGTAGGGTACTTAAGCTCGCCGCTCGAGGACGAACCATGTCCGGATGTTTGCTTAAGTAAAATCAATAGTTACCGATGACTAAGTTAGTTAATACTTAGTTTACATCATCCTGTGGGTTCTGGTCATATATATATATATATATTTGCAACAGTTGATCATGGCAATAAATTATTATACCTATATACCAATACCATAATAGATGCTGAGTAGATTAATATTGCTAAATATTTAATTTTTGTAACAGACACATAAATTCAAACTTAATTTGAAATATAATTTTTTTTATTTAATTTATATATTATTTATAGTAAAATTGTAATTTATAGACTTATGTAATTATACTAAATATTATTATGATCACCAAACGATCATCAGTGTAGATGTATTATAGATATATCAGCCAGGAAATAGGAATATAGTCATTTTACCAATTTCTCGTCCTTCTGAAAAGTAAAAGGTCAACCCTGAGCAAATATAATTTTTATGAACATTTATACAAATCTATTGTAAGTACTTATATTATTAAATTTATAAGTTTCGTTACATTATTTATTCAGTGTTGCACAATTAAAGCTTATTGTTTATTACTAAGCTTACTACTTAGTATGGAAAAATTCTAATTTAATTTTTTGTATCGTTTTATTTTCGTTGACAAATCAAAAATATATATATTTCATTTTAAATGATCACTTAGCTTACATCATTTGGTCTTGATGAAAAGCTGCATACATTAACAAGACTTGTCGGGCTTAAAATATTTTATGGCTTGCATGCGAATTATGAACTATGAAGTATATTTATACAAATATCAAATATTTATTCAAGTTGATTCTATTAGTCTGAACATTTGGTGTTCGTAATTATTATAGTTAAATCAAAATATAATTTTATGGTTTTTAAATTTTTAGTATATTATACTTGTATACTTGGTATGACTAAAATATATTGTTGGTTGTTGACTATTACGTTATTCTGTAAGGCATGTAATTCAAAGTAATTTATTGCACGATGATATTGGGTAATGGGTTTGCTGTTGTATTTTTGTGAATAGCCTAATTTAGACAGAAATCATGGTCTTGCACTACTCTTGTAACAATGCTGGATACAATTTGTCAAAAACTAAACCCACGGACACGGACATAAACAAATGACATTTCACTTGGTTGAGTACCTACACCACTCGTACTCTCTCTCGCAATGACCATATTACTCTTGAAGGGTAATCATTTATGTATGGCTATTGGTCACTTATATAATATAAACCCATCAAAAATGAATTAACCGCTGTATATGCACCTTCCAACATAAACGTTAAATTAGTATACAGGTGACCGTATGACCCGCTCTAATGAAACAATTTTGAGCATTAAGTTTTATTTTATTTCTTACTAATAATTAATAAGTATATAATATAAATTATAATAACGTTTATTGGTTAGGTATGTAATATGTATTGATTCCAATGCTTTATGCACGGAAAAGCTTAAAGCTTAAAACTTCTCAGTTTCCATTTCATAGATTAAAAAGATAATTAATAAGTAATATATTATAAGTTAATTTAAACCTATATTATTGTTAGGTCGATATAAAATTTCAAAGTACATTATTTTGGTATTATCGATATTGAACACTGATCAACATAATTTACTTGTATTATGACTTCATCATCTACGTAATGCAATAGAAGAAATATTCACCTGTGAATAATTTATTGTTAAAACGGATACAATACCTAAATATTTAATTTTTTTTTTATAGTGAACGTCATTATATTTTAATATGCCTTAAACCTTTTTAAACAAATATTATTTTTAATCCATATTAAAATAGGTATCTAGTTATTAAAATATTTTTTAAATCACAAAAAATAATTTAATATTATGATTAAATTTACCTAATTAAATTTCATTCCACAAAATAATATACGAGTATCTACATTATAATTTATAAATACTATATATTTTGTATTTTAAATGTTGTGAAATTGTTACTTGTAAGTTGTATTTACCTACATTTTTATATTTATATTTTTTTCGATTTTATTATGTAAAATACAATCTTTAAATTAATTTTTGCAATATGTATTTGGGAGGATTCTTATTGGTATCATTGGGTAGCGTGAACAGATAAACCATCCATTGATGATACTCCATGTAGATTGTAGGTATTGTTATTTAATATTTTAAAATGTACGAGTACCTATTCTCTTGACTATAACAATTTGTAACCACCTGTTGTATTTCATTTTATACCATAACATTTCTTTTAATGTTTAGCTGATATATTTAAATTTACACACCATACTAAATTTCACGAAATGGATTATTTTATTAATACTAAACAAAAAAACGTAGATATAAGGTAAAAGGTTGTGTTATATGATATTTATTTTTATGGTACCTACGCGGCTACGCTTAATACGACAATATAACATGTTCTTGAAATTTGAATATAATATTATGTTCTTTTTATATCCTTTGATATTCAGTTAAAAAATGTTTTACTTATTTGACTGTGAGTGTTTCAGTTATAATAGTAAAACAATCAGTTTGGAAGTCGAAATTCTTTATATGTATCTGATTAAACATTTTGTTTTACAGTTGATACATAATTTTTGGTACCTACTAATGATATGTATACACAGATTTTTTTTTGAACATTGTCTCTATTCTATAGGATCAGGTAAAAAAAAAATGGTGTTTAGTTCATAAATTATATTAATGATTTTATTTTTGAATTTATTGAAACACAAACATAATAGCAGATACATAAATCAGTTCACGAATAATTATTTTCTTCAAACATATAATATTATACAGATAAATCGAAGACGTGTTTTAACTTTTTAAGTATTAAGTTTAATATACTACCAAAAACTTATAGAATACATATTCTTCAATATTATTAGGTACGATCAAATTCGAAATTAAATTGTAATAAATTGTACAAATATAGATCAATAAAGTGAAATTAAAAAAAAATCTCTGATATTGGTAATCATGAAAACGTTGCACGGTAGAAAAATAAAAAAAAACAAATTTGTTACTTCAAGGGTGAATCTTTTTACTAAAAATAAGAGCTTTGCTTTAAACATAAATTTAATTTTCATCCGCAAATTAAGCATGCACAGAATATTTTTAGCCGTTATAGGTACGCTTTTGAATTTAAAAAACGATAAATATATAATATAATAATATGATAATATACATAATATATTTAGGTACCCAGTTATTAAACTCGTATATCCACTTTCCCTTCTTTCTGTCTTCTAGAATATATATTTTTCCTACGTATTTGGCAAATAGTCATGTTGGTCGTAAATCACTGTGTGTATGCAGTTCTTTATAATACCTCGCATCTGTCTTATTTTTGGTTGTTATATACATATATTAATATCTTCTACGATTCATAAGATAACATTTTTCGCTTTATTAAAAAAAAAAAATTCAACTTGTATAAGTGAAAAAAAAACAAATAGATATTTCTTAATGGTAACTGTAGTAATTGTAATATAAGTAGTATAGATAATATATTAGTAATATAAAACTGAGCTAGTTTTGTATTATTAATTTTGTAATTTAATATTTGTGAATTAAATTTCTAAACCAAATAATATGTACTATGGTAGCACAAAAGCACATAAGAACAACACATCTGCATTGTTACAAAAAGCAAACACAATATTCTGAATTAAATTTACTCAAACTTTACGTAGACTTACTCTCTAAACCTTTTGCATTTGTAACATGTGTATGTACAAGAATCTAAACAACAAATTGTTAATAAACAACTCAGGTTCTTTAACTATAAACTTTACCATTACCATGTCAGATAGTTTACCATTACAACACATTAACTGTCAAAAATTATGAATGAATATTAGTTTAGATGATCAGATTTTAAACATATACATTTAAAGAATATATAAGTAAGAAAT